ACTCAAGTGGTTAAGACGCTGAACTGCAGGCTGTGGAAGGTTGGTAGTTCAGCAGTTCGAGACCCGAGTGTGCCGCATGACGGAGTGAGCTCCCGTCTCTAGTTCCCGCTCCTGCCAACCTAGCAGTTCGAAAGCAAGAAAATTGCAAGTAGATAAATAGGTACCACTTCAGTGGGAAGGTAACAGCATTCCGTGCACCTTGTTGTTTAGTCATGCCGGCCACATGACCACGGAAATGTCTTCGGACAGCGCTGGCTCTTCGACTTTGAAATGGAGATGAGCACCGCAACCCTAGAATCGGACGCGACTGACTTTTGAGCAAGGGAACCTTTAAATTTACCTTTTACTGAGAGTGACAGAGGTTGAAGTGTGCCGACCAGACCTGTCATCTGGGATGTGACAGAATGTGTGTGCATCTGGGATGTGACAGAAAAGCTAGAAAGAGTCATCAAACCCATTGATTATTATCCCTTCCTGCTCATCCATGTGGGAACAAATTATACTGCCTGGCGTAGCTCAGAACATATTAAAAGAGAGTATGAGGCTCTGGGTAAAAAGGTTCAGAACCTCGGAGCACAGGTCATGATTCTGTCCATTCTTTCTACTGAAGGCCATAGTTTAAGAGAGAGGAGAATACTGGAAAATGACAACTGGCTAAATAGATGGTGTCATCAGGAAAGGTCTAGGGTTTTTGGACCATGGACTACACGTTTGATATGAAGCTCCTTTGTTGGGAGATGGTTTGCCCCTCATGAGGGTAGGGGGAAAATGTGTTTGACAAGAGCCTTGCAAACCTGTTAAGGAGGGCTTTAAACTAAATCCTGTGAGGGAGGCAAAAATCCAAAGCCTATTACGATGCCAATAACTGGAGATAAGAACACTAAAGATGTGTGGAAAAGGGACCCATTAATTTGCCAGTAATAACAGACAGGGAACTCTCAGGGCACTTAAACGATGGATTATGATGTCTCTATACTAATGCACAGAGTATGGCAAATGCGTAGGAGGAACTTGAGGTCCTAATACAGGAAGGGGCTATGATGACATTACTGAAACTTGGTAGGATGATACTCACAACTGGAATATTAGGGGTACAAGTTATTTAAAAGGAATAGACAAATAAGGAAGGGGAGAGGAAGTTGTATTATATGTCAAGGATGCATATACTTGTGGATAAATATATGAATCTAAGCATGGAAGTTCAGTTGTGAGGTACAAGTTATTTAAAAGGAATAGACAAATGAGGAAGGGGAGAGGAGTTGTATTATATGTCGAGGATGCATATACTTATGAAGAAATATATGAATCTAAGCATGGAAGGTCAGTTGTGAATCTCTAGGTAAAAATAAAAGGGATACAAAATAATAGCAATATTATGCTGGGGGGGGGTGATCTGTTATAGACCACTAAGCCAGTCAGAGGACTTGGACAAGACACTTCTAGACAAAGTTATAAAGTTTTCAAAGAGATGGGACATAGTGTTCATAGGAGATTTCAATTACCTGGATATCTGTTGGAAATCAATCTCTGATAAAAATGAAAGGTCTGATAAATTCCTGACGTCTTGCTGACAATTTCATTTTCCAAAAGTTGAAGAAGGAAAGAAAGGGGTCTGCTATCTTGGACTTGATTCTCACCAACAGGGGAGAACTGGTTGATGAGGTGAAAGTAGTGGGCATCCTGGGTAGTAGTGACCATGTAATGTTGGAATTTAACATCTTGGGGAAGGGGGAAACTGTATGTAGTCAGACATACAGGTTGGACTTTAGAAAAGCTAATTTTAACTAACTTAAAAGTTATGCTGGGTAGAAGGGAGTTCAAGATGGGTAGGAGTTTCTTAAAACTCAGATATTGAAGGCACAATCATGTACAATTCCAATGTGAGAATCACCTAGGGAAACACCGTGTTCCTCTAAATGAAATTAAGCCCTCAGGACCAGATGTATTGCATCTGAGGATACTAAAGGAACTTGTTGATGTAATTTCGGAGCCTCTGTCCATTATTTTTGAGAATTTTTGGAGAACTGGTGAGGTGTCAGAAGACTGGAGACAGGCAAATGTTGTCCCCCATCTTCCAGAAGGTGGAAAAAGGAGGATCCAGATAACTACCAACCCATCAGCTTGACATTTATACCTGGGAAGGTTTTAGAACAAATCATCATACAGACAATCTTTGAGTATTTAGAAAGGATGGCTGTGATTACCAAGCGCCAGCATGGGTTCCTCAAGAACAAATCATGTCAGACCAAACTTATCTCCTTTTCTGAGAGAGTTACTACCTTGTTGGATTAAAGGAATGCTGTGGACATAGTTTATCTTTGATTTAAGTAAGGCTTTTGATAAGGTTCCACATGATATTCTTGTTGACAAGTTGGTGAAATGTGGTTTTCCTATTACTGCTAGGTGAATTTGTAACTGGCTGTCAGATCACACCCTGGCTGACAGATCACATTGCCTGTAAATTATTTCTCATCCTCTTGGAGAGGAGTGAAGTGGAGTGCCTCAGGGATCTGTCCTGGGCCCTGTGTTGTTCAACATCTTTATAAATGACTTAAATAGAGGGGATGCTCATTAAATTTGCAGATGACACTAAATTGGGAGGGTAGAAAATACAGTAGAAGACAGAGTCAAGATACAGGATAATCCTGACATTCTGGAAAACTGGGCTAAAACTAACGAAATGAATTTCAGCAGAAATAAATGTAAAGTTCTGCATCTAGATATAAAAAATCAAATGCATAATTATTGGGTGGAGGAGACTTGTCTTGGCAGTAGTACCTGCAAAAAGGATCTAGGGGTCTTAGTAGACTACACTGAACATGAGTCAGCAGCATGATATGGTAGCTAAAAAGGCAAATGTGATTTTGATCTGCATCAACAGAAGTACAGTGTTCAGGTCACGTGAAGTAATGGTATCACTTTACTCTGCTCTGTTTAGACCTCACTTGGAGTATTGTGTTCAGTTTTGGCACAGCAATTTAAGAAGGATGTTGACAAGGTGGAATGTGCCCAGAGGAGGGCAACGAAGAGGGTGAGGGGCCTGGAGACCAAGTCCTATGAGGAAAGTCTGAAGGAGCTGGGTATGTTTAGCCTGGGGAGGAGACAACTGAGAGGTTATATGATAGCCATCTTCAAGTATTTGAAGGGCTGTCATTTACAGGATGGAGCAGAGTTGTTTTCTGTTGTCCCAGAAGGTTGGGGGAAAACCAGTGGAATTAAATCAAAAGAATTTTCTGCTTAACATTAGGAAGAACTTACTGACAGAGCAGTTCTCCAGTGGAACAAGCTTCCTTGGGGGGTGGTAGGCTCTCCTTCTGTGGAGATTTTCAAGCAGAGGCTAGATGGCCATCTGACAGCAATGCTGATTCTCTGAACTTAGGCAGATCATGAGAGGGAGGGCAGGAAGGGAATGAGCGAGTGTTTGGTTCTCGGGGCCCTTTCTTACATGTCCAGGGTAGAAGGAGAAGAAGAGAAGAAGAAGAGATTGGATTTATACCCCACCCTTCACTACCCAAAGGTGTCTCAGAGCGGCTTACAAACTCCTTTCCCTTCCCCTCCTCACAACAGACACCCTGTGAGGTAGGTGGGGCTGAGAGAGCTCTGACACAAAGTGCTCTTTTCCAAGAACAGCTCTTATCAGAACTATGGTTTGCCCAAGGTCATCCAGCCAGGTGCAAGTGGAGGAGTGGGGAATCAAACCTGGTTCTCCCAGATTAGAGTCTGTGCACTTAACCACTACACCAAACTCTCTCTCTGGTAATGCCAATTGCCACTTTGGGGTCAAGAAGGATTTTCCCTCCAGGCCAAATTGGCCAGGGATCCTGGCAGTTTTTTGCTTTCTTCTAGGCATACAGCAGGGGTCACTGGGGGAATTCGGGGGGGAGGGTCGCAAAGAGTCAGACTCAACTGTGCGACTGAATAACACTTGTACATTTCCTGCATTGTGCAGGGGGTTGAACTAGATGACCCTTGAGGTATCTTCCGGCTCTATGTTTCTATGTTTCTCTCCCTTCCTACTTCATTGAGCTATGTATACATGAATCAAAGATTCTTCCTTTTATGCAGAAGAGACAATTGCTTTATTAAAATGGATAACAGGGGACTTGAATGGCAGTACTCAGGTTCCTAACAGATGCAGAATATTCTAAGGCAAAGCAGAACACAAACAGTTCAGTCTCTTCTCTTTATGGTCTCTTCTTCCTTCCCATCCAATACAGTATAACTGAAGGACAGAAGGTCTGATCCTCTCAGGTCACTAGTGAGATAGGAACCCAGGCCTTCTCTTTCTTATCTCGCCTCTCAAAAGAAGATGAGGAGAGTGGAAAGTGATTCATTTTGTCAAGCCAGCAGCAGAACTGGAATTCATTCTTTCTTTGGTTTTCTCCTATGAGAGAAGACAGGACAGGCAAGCCAAAGCCAGATGATATCAAAAACCCACAGCAGGACTTATTCATTTGCCCCAAACTCATGCACAGTACTTAGAACAACTGACTGTCAGTCAAAAATGCCTCCTGAGGCATAGTATAACTTGCCATAAGACAGACTCTACTAGAGCCATCTACCTTGAAATAAGTGGACAACATCTTGTCAAAAATGATTGATGCTTTCCAGCATTCTTTTGCTTTAAAGTATCGGTACTTGCATTCCATGTCATTCTACCTAGCTCAATTTCAGCCAAATAAGGAATCCAAAAGTGATCAATAGCAGTTATAACACTTTGGACCTTCGACTCACACATTTTGTTCCTCCTCTCAAGTTGCACAATATAGCAGGCAACTTCAAAATGCCAGGTCATGTAAAATCAATGGCAGCACATGCTCATTGGAAACTCTGGAGCAAAGCCACTAAGCGAGCAGGGATAAAAAGTGCAATTGGGCAACTGCAGAGCATTTTCTGTGTTTGCCCTTGTTGTTTCTGCTGGCAACCATTTTGCACAAATGGATTCTAACACTGGAATGGTTTGAGGTTTTGATGTTCCACCACTTGGAGCCTTGTTGTATTCACACTGAGCAGACTTTGTTTTCTGAAGTGGCCAGCTGGGCATAAGAATGGCAGCTGCTGTGTTCGTCTTCACTTCTCCGGTCGTAAACAGTGATTTGCGCTGCTAAAGTGGGCATCTCACCACAATTTTTGTTGTTGGTCAGCGTCACCCTATCTGAAACTGGATTCACCTTGGAAAGCATAATGTCTTGGTCACTGCATCGGAACAGCTGGATTAGACATCTCCGGAACTACAAGTGAAAGAGTCAATGCGATTAACACAATTTCAAAGAACACATATTTCAATAGTTCAATATCTCCTGGTTGCATCTTCACATAAATTTACACTATTGCCTTGGCAGCCTGTAGCAACTCTGGTTTCTATACATATAAAATATTTTCATGATTTAATTTGAAAGGAATAAGTGTTGTTTCCCTCTCCAGGCTAGTCCAGTCTCGTCAGATCACAGAAGCTAAGCAGGGCCAGCTTTGGTTAGTATTCGGACGTCCGGGGTTGCAATGCAAAGACAGGCAATAGGCAAACCACCTCTCTCTTCATCTCTTGCCTTGGAAACCCTACAGGGTCGCCATGAGTTGGCTGTGACTTGATGGCAATTTCCACCAACAACTGCTATTAAGGGGACAATAATGGTAGCGGATAGCTACAAGTGCTTTAAACGGAGATCAGACAAATTCATGCCAGATATTGATTCATTCATGGCTAAACAGAAACTCCATGTTCAGAGCTTATGATAAAATATGCACTTATTTATGATGTTAAGAAAGAATACTTATATAAAAGTATCCTGGTTTATTTTGAAGACTGTAAAAGGCTACTGACTTGTTGATACAATTTCCTTCCAAATATCATAGCATGAAGAGCTCAACTAGAAGCAAGTCATTTCAGACTATACTCCAGAACCTTATTCAGCCCTAGAACATGAGAGTGAATAAAAGAGCCTTTGAGGATGTCTAGATCATACTCCCCATTTTGAATAAGTAAATGGAGTTTGTGTGGGAACTTCCCACGTTCATACATCAGAGGGTTAAAGTGTTCCAAAGTAAAGGGTGTGGTTTGCTTCCAAGCAGGCTGGGAACCTTCCATTTTCGAAATGAAGTCGTGCTCATAATCCATCATGTGTTTATTGAATCTCTCGTCTCCCAAGTACAGCATTGCTGCTGAAACTTGAGAAGTTTTGAACAATGGAAAATTATTTGCACACTGCATAAAACTTAGGCAAACACTACAGCATTCAGACTTTCCAAGCATTCAGTCCCCCCTCAAGAAAATGACACCCTCCAGCACAATTTTGATTCAGGAATATGGCACGGAGGGAGGTACAAGCCCCTCCTCACCCCATGCCAGCGTCCCAATCTGAATCATGGTGCTTTTAAATGGCATTCCCAATGGGAACACATAGTTGCAATATGGCTGCGAGTTCCCACGGTGATCTGCATATGTCATAACTTGTTGTTTGGCCCAGAACACCAAATCCTGTGTTCTACTATTTTGCTCCACAAAGCCTTCTTCCTTGAGGAGCCTTTTTCTGTAGCTTGAGTGTCTGTTCTGCTGGACGAAGAGCCACTTAAGTTGGAGAAAGGCTTCTTAGACTGGAGGAAGGATTCAAATGTTGCTGAGCAGAATGGTAGGATACAGGTCAGAGCTTATATTGGACAAATGTATGAAAGTGTTACCTTTTTGCATTATAGACCCTTTGCAGTATTGTCGGTTAAAATCTTTAAGTACCAAAGAGCCGTACTTATTACTGTGTCTTTAGGGGGAGAAGGGGGCAGCAGGGGAAAAAACATTTCCATGAGATGTTCCTGCTAGGCTCTTCATGCAAAGGAGATGTTCCATATGGCAAGGAGAGCTACGGAATCCAGCCATCATGTTAAGGTGCTTCCACACATGAGCAAATTTCAGTGGCTTCCTCATAGAGGCCATTGTATGTATCTTGGCCTATAAATGGAAATTACAGACTGTTGACCCTTTTCGTTGGCTAAGCTCTCTCAGCTGTTAAACAGGTGCCTCCTACCTGGATGACTAGGTAACGTGTGTGTGTCTGCCAATGTAGACTGGGTTCTCTGGCCCATTTAATTGAAAGCACTGAAACGGACTTTAATCAGTCTTCTCTGGAGTAAATACAATTTGGGATTGCAGCCAGAATCTATCATTAAAGCGACAAGTGGAATTGCAAATTAATTACAGGGCCATAAGCAGATAAAAACAAGTGATTAAAATGGGAAAGTCCCTCCCCCAAAGTGATTCAATTTAATTACCCAAAGAAGAGGCAATACACTACCTGATTGTTCATAAAGACATAAATAATTGGATTATACACTGTAGCTGTCTTGGAAAAGAAAGCTGGGATGGCAGCAAGACGGGCATCCAGTTCAATAGAAGGACAGGCAGTGACTAGGATGGAGAAAGCTGCATACGGAGACCAGCAGATCAAAAATGCAAGGATCATAATAATAACCATTCGAGTGACTTGTCTTTCTGGCTTCCTTGTAGAACCTAATCTGCCTTGAGTGACTGAGACCTGGTGGAGGGAGGGAAAGAAGACCACAAGCAAAGTAATGATGATGCCTATTCAGCATCCAGCTGCAAAGCCACAATTCCCTGAAGACAAGTGACCCTGTTGAGTTCTCCACTCATAAGCATTTACATGTCATTCGACAGCACTGACCAGAGAAGAAAACAGGAAATTGCTATTTCTGCATTGTGTTTACTATGGGATAAGTCATACCTCCCCTCTCTTCTATCAAGACAAGCAGAGAAACTCACCTTCTCACAGAACTTTCTGGATATTCAGAATTATATCACACTCAGTCATTGGTTGTGAATGAAGTGTCTGCTGGGACATTTCAGAGACATTTTCTTTGAAGCAGCCGTGGATAGGAGCCTCCCTGTCCCCTTCACCTAAAGCCAAGCCCTTCTGAAATGTTCTGAAAGTATGTAGACTCAATGCACAGAGGAAAGGGAATGAGGCTCTTATCTACTGGCTCCATTCCAATCCTCCATTCATTGGTTGAGTCTGCGCAAACAGAGACTGTGCGTATTCATGCTGTGTGCACATAGGCTTTGAATGTGCAATCTGATACCCAGGATTCACAGGCTAGCAGATTTTTATTTACTGGACATACTTATATGTCACTTTTCTGTCATACCCACAAAGCAGCCTTCAGATATACAGATAATACCATAAACCAACAACAATACATTCAGCCAACCAACCGAAGGGCAATGGATGCTAATTCAAAATTGTGGCTGAATACTGACAACCAGAAGGCTTGGTTTCCTGAATGCAGCTTCATTTTCCATCTCCATATCATGGCCTTTTTGGAGCTGTTGATAGTAAATTTCACTGTCTTTGTAATCATGCTGGGCATCCTGTTACTAATGCAAAACTTGTATGTCCCTACCATGTGAGCCCCAAAACTATATTCCCCACATCTCTGTCTACTTTGTAGCTTCTCTTGTCACCTGCTGTCTCCACATTGACATTGAGGAAGTCTCCTTCAACTGCTCTGAAGTTAATCCCCATCTTGGTGTTTTATGGGACCCACACAAGCACACTTCTGCCTGTGCAGGTTAATGCTAATGAAGTTGTTGGATGGTGGGGCTGATAGCATGGCCAACAGTGCCAGCACTGGTGGCCGGGGGCTTGACTCATTTGAAGAGGTGCCTGGCTCGAAAAGTGATGCAAGCTGCTCCAGCAGGGGGGGTTCACTTTATAAG